ATACTACTATATAAATATATATATATAGATATATATGTTAAGATACTACTGCCCTGAATGCATGTGAAAATCCTTTTTTATTCTGAAGTTTTGTTCTGATAATTTAGTCTACAGGAAGCCTGCATACAGTAATAAAAAATGGAATTAAACAATTCTAACCTGTTTAAGAACACTCTGTATTTCATCCATAACAGTAGCTAAATTTTTGATTGTCTTATTCAGCTGACCCTCAAATTGCAAATTTTTATCATCCGAGATCTTCAAATTTTCTTGCAGTTGGCCAAGGTCCTTTTTCACTTCTTTGAGCTCCGCAGATAGACTTTTGTTAGAATTCTCCAGTTGTAGTATGGTCTTTTCATCCTCATCTTAGGGGGAAAAAAAAAAGTCACTTCCAATGCTGTGTACTTTGCATCTTAATATTCCATTTACATGCCAACACTATAACTACTGATTTTTAACTACTGCATTGCATTACCATTTGATAATACTCAATTCTATCCATGTAAGTACCAATGTAATGTCCCACCTGTTTTTTCTTCTAGTAACTGAAGCTTTTGTTCTATTTCTGCCCGCACTCTTTCACTCTTCTCCAGCTTCTGTAAAAGGCTCCCAACATCCACCATAGCTCCATTGTACACAATGAGGCCGACATTTTCTTCTATGGCTTTTGATTCTTGCTTTATGGTAGGCGATGGTAACAGTAATCTGTTTCCTGTATTAGATTAAGTAGCATTAGGAAATAATCATTGTGTCATTTTTCGGTTCTAGTGACCAACCTCAAAAACTTCTTAAAATAATAAATTTCTAAAAGAATAAATATAGATTCAAGTTTGCTGGTCTGTCCCTTGCATTTCTCTCCTCCCTCCTTACCGCAATTCCCCCCACAAAGAAAGGAGCATGCTCTTTCATGACATTCTTCTATGCCTCCTTTCTGCAGTAATTTGTCTTTGAAAATCAGGCTCTGTTCTACTACCTATAGCACTGATCCTCCTGACTGCAAAACTGCTGTGAATGAGAAATGTTGTTCATCAATATTCAACATTAATCTCTGTCCCAAGATATTAAGATTTATCCTATAGATGCAACAAGATGTGTTGGAAGTCAGAAATACTGTAATTTATGAACTGCCCAAGATTTACTTTTCCAAACTGGCAGGTTCCTTGCAGACCTGAATTAGTTTCTGCAAGAAAGCAAGTATCTCAGAAGTCTCATTATCATTCACACAGAAACAATTCTCTGTGGCATAAAAAAAAAAATAATACCACCTAACATATCTTCCTGTAGCTCTTCAGACTCTTCTTGATTTTCTTCATCTTTAGAAGTATCTGTTAGTCTTCTGTAAAAGCAAGATTCTCTAAGCACTACTTTATTAAGTAGCTTCTTGACCTAAAACACAGCCATGGAAAGAAATACGGTGTTACTTAATAATGTTACACAGACATTATATAACCTAAACAAGAATGTTTTAACTTGGAAAACTCAGAAATTGGACAGCTTTTTTAACTTTTAACATACTGGGGCTTAAAATGAAAACAAGCTAGGAAAAAAAAAAGAGGATACAATTTTGAGGCAAAAGCTACATATACAATAAGGGCATATTAAGAGCTGCAAATTTCACCTTTTCATACCAAGACAATTTATGAAAGATTAAACTAGTATTTCATTGTAAATATGAAGTGGCTGCATAAAAATCAGGGATCAAGTATGTAAGCAACAGCCTTTAGAAGATAAACTACATTCCTCCCACTTACAGCATTCCTGTAATATTTTCAAAGAGATTTCTATTACTATACAAAACCTGAGCACGTGACAGGTGTAGTCCAAGAGTGTACAGTATCTCCTCCATGTCCTTCTCCAGAAGATATCCACAATGACTTTGATCAAAATAAACGAAAGCCATCAGAAGATCCCTATTAAGAGTTACCATCTGTGTCTTGTCTTTCTCCTACAGAAAATTCATTATGGGATCATTAGGAAGTTAAAATATCATTTTCCCACCATCTACTAAACCCACAAACTTTTCAGTTAACAAAAGTCGTCTTCTGTTCATTTTACCGTTACTTTGAGTCAAGTAATTTAACTAGCATTTACCCACTGAGCTCAAATATAATATAAGCAAGCTATTTAGGACAAGCAATCTTTCAAGTATTTAAAAAAATTACAGCACAGTGGACAGTAACATCTGGTAGACACACTTTCCTTTTGTTCATGCTAATATGTCAAAAATTTTGAAGAATTAACCTAATTAAACAAGTAATAGTAAACATCCCTTCTCCTCCCGATCATGTATTTTACTGAACAGCTGTTTTAAAAGTGAAATTCCCATAAACATGTAATGGATGAGCATCCAGCTCTCACAGCTACAGCAGTTCTGCAGACTGCGTTTTCCCGTTATTCGTATTCCTATATCTCCTATTTTCCCTTGAAGAATAAATAAAGAGAATCAGAAACTTGTTTTATTCTTGCATTTATAAAGAAAGTTTAAGCTAACAAATTAAGCTTATGCTTGTTCCTTCATCTGAACTGTGAAGGCAAGCTATTGGCCTCATGACAAAAAGCATCCATTTTCCTGCAGGGAGATGTTAAAACATCACATAATGATTCCAAGCTTCACAATTGAAAAGCCAGTTTATCAATCAAGCTAAGCTTCTGCTTTTCTTATGTAAGAATACAGCAGTTGAAAATAATGGATAAAATAATCACATCTGCTGCCTCTTATGTGCACATACAGCATTAGTCCTCACGTCTTTCAGACAGATCAGTATCTCATATAAGAAAGTTTTTCCAACAGCTTTCACCCAATGAACTTTAAAATGTAAGTGAAAGTAGGCTGTAAGCACCTTACCCAAAGCTGTCACATATTCCCTAACTTCTATATACACTTGATGTTTCAGTCTAGAAGTGCTGAAGGAATCAAGGAGTGCAAATAGGTCTTATAATAAAAATAAAGTTATGCTCTAATTAGGACACCTCTAACAAGGTTATATGTAGTTGTTAAGAAAGGTGTTAATTACTTTATCTTTCGACGACCTCTCTTTACAATGCCTATTTCCCTCTCTTCTGTCCTCCCGTTTGTTCATTTCCTCTTCATCCCGGTCTGTAAAACAGAAAGAAAATTCAACATACCCACAGCAAACAATTCTATAACCATTATCTCAAAATACATATATGTTCACTGAAAAAGTTCACATAAACGCCCAAATATCTGAAATTAATATTTTTCCCTGAAAAATAAAAAAAACAAATGGCATTTAAGTGAGTCCTGTTAAATTTTGATTTTCCTCTGGTCTTATTTTAACATAAGCCATTTGTCATTTCCCCCTCCCTCCCCCCCCCGTGTTTCTTTCACACACGGGATAGAAGAGCTGAAACAAGCGCTAACTAGGCCAAAATGAGTTCCGCCAACATCACCATCCATTTAAATGGTGTGCAGAAAATTACCACAATTCTCCCTAATGAGGCTTGGCAGAGTCTGCATTCAGCTATGGTTATTCCTATTATGACAAAATCAGTACTATTTACTCTCAAATATTTTATATCATAAAAACCGTATCAACTATATAATTAAAAGCATGTGTTTATACTCATGTCTGAGAGATACTACTGATCCTATGATTTAGATTCTCCACGAAGTTACAAACTGCAGATTTTTTGTTTAAAAGTAGACAGTACAGTAAAACTAAATCTAAAATCAAGAAAGAGGAATATGACAACTGCAGGGACGGATAAGGCATGCAGCTCTGTACCTTATGTCAAGTCTTTAGTCAGAGAATCATGTGCCAAGTTCAGCTTTAAGCTCACCTTTCTTGTGAGGAAAACTTTGGAAAAAACTATGCATCACAACACTTGTCTAATTTTGCCAACAGGTTTCTGAGAACCAATAGCTTTCTCCAGCACCTCCATGGCATGTTGGATTGTTCTCAGCAACTCTGACTGGGAATGGCACAAGGACAGATTATGGGAAATACTTGTACAGAACAGACCAGCCCAGGGCACTCTCACAGCCAGATTATAAGAAAATAAGAGTTATTTTGGAAACCACAGATTAGCACCGATTTTTAAGGCTGGTGCAGTACTCTGCCAAAAATACAACTGAAAATGCTGGTTAGAAAAAGCTGGGACTGCAATATCTAAGCAGTTTGAACCCACATCTCTAGCAAAAACTCTCCACAAAAAGACAAAAACCCCAAGGAAGTACAAACCAAAAAAGCATACACCATGTCTTATGCCTTTCTGAATCTCTGAGCAGGGAAATTAGAGCTACTGCTGCTTCCTGGAGACAGGAAAGTTCCCCAGCCCCTTTTCCCCATTTCTTCAGGCAAACACAACTCCACCCGAACAGAAATCAACTCCTCATAACATCATGTAAAGAGCACCCCACGCTACATTCTGGCCTAATAAAAACAGGATGACATTTCAGAACTGAGGAATAGGAAGTTAGGCACTTAAAAGTGGCTTGGTTTTTCAGAGGTGCTGAATACTCACATCTCCTACTGACTTCAATGGGAGTTGCGAGTGGTCTGCATTCTGAAAAAAATAAAACCACTTCTATATGCATGCCTTACTTTGAGTACCACAGCTAGTTTATATTAACTATGTTTATACAACGCCTAGCATAAAGGCACTTACATTTTAAGTAGATCTGGTCAGAATTACTAAAATAAAATTAGTCTAATAATGCAATTTTAAATTGTCTACTTCCAGAGCATTCTCCAGCTTGAAGGAACATACTCAGTGGCAATAAAAAAATTTTTTGAAAGCCACAAAATTCATAATTAAAGATACCTTCATCTTCGTCTTCAGCATCTTCTGCCTCCATTGGATCATATTCTTCTTGATTATTGTCATCTTCAGTTTCTTCTTCATCTTTAGAATCATCTTTCCTTTTATCTTCCCTCTGTAACAAAAGTTCCTAAAAATTTATCCAGTCAGAACTAAAAACCAGGAACGTAAAAACTTCACTTCCATTCATTCAAAATTTGCGTATGTTTATATTTAGTCACTTAAATACAAATCTATGTGATATAGCTGAATGTTAAAATGACCCAAATACACCTGTAAAGTTTTTAAATTACTTAATGTGATTGAAGCATATTTAAATAGATCAACAAGTCAAATCAATTAACTAACACTACTAGGCCTGAGTTTTGGAAAAGGAATAAAGTAAAATTCAAATAGAAACAGTTTAATATTGATCCAGACAGGATAGTACTTCATATGAGCTAGCTGCAGACCTTCTTTTCATCTCTATCTTCTTTTTTGTCTTTATCATCTCCAGATTTTCTCCTCTTAGGTTTTGGATCATCTGTTTCATCATCTTTTTCTTCTTTTTTTTCTTTTCTCTCATCTTTTTTGCTTTTTTTGTCTTTTTTGTCCTCCCTCTCTGGGAGAGAAATCAGTGCTTTGTAAATTCTGACACCAAAATCTCTCTGAAGCATTTCATTGAAGAGTTCTGCAAACAATGATACCTGCATATAAAGAAGAACAAAAAGAGAACTAACAAAAAGTTTTAAAATATATATTAAAAATTTGTATACTTATGATTAAATAGCTATGAGGTGCTATCTTACCAACTTACACCACGTCAGAATTTTATGTAGTGTCAGACTTCTTATTATCTGCTTTGAATATGGAAATCTTAAACAACTTTATAAAAATGCTTCTTTCCTGTACTCCAGTAGTTTAGGACCTAGACTAGCTGTACAAATTATAAACTCAGTTCCATATCCAAAAACCTGCGCATTTCTTCTGGATATCATATAGTGACTATACTGCTATTGTAAACCACGTACCAAACACTGGGCAATTTTTTCTAGGTATTGCACAGAGAAACTAACTTATTTAAGTTTTATTTTGCCATGTTATCATAAACTTACAATTTAAGAATACTGCAGTTATCACACAGAATTAAAAAGAAACAAGAATGGCTAACCATAAATAGCACAGCTAAATTACCTCAAAGGAATGTTCTTTATTATCTTCTAATCTATAGTCCAGAAGAACACTAAGAGACATAATGCTACAGTCAAACTTCCCACTCTTTGCTGCCCAGTTAGGATGTACAATGATTGCTGGTTCATCAGGCAAGATATATCGTCTCTCCCGCCGCTGACGTTCCATTTCTTCTTGACGTTTTCTTTCCTCTTCCTAAAAGAGGCAAAAAAATAACATACAGTATATTCCAACGCTGAAGTTTAGCTTATATATTAGTTTTAAGGACTCACTGCTTTGAAGAAAGTGAAGGAAAGCCTAAGCTGCCGAATGTATCACAGAAGACAGACAGAAGTCACAGACTAGAATTTCCAGAATGCATACCGTGTCCACTGTCAACACTTGCCTAAGATGACTGGAAACTTGAGCAACACAAAGCAGGATATGCAGTCTTTTTTAGCCCACAGAGCAACAGCACCTTCCAACTATCTCATGGTGCTAACCGCAGCATGTTTACTCGACATTGGAAGGCCTCAAGCTAGTTCACTTCAAGAAAAGGTATGCAAGCTAGCAAAGCAATCAATGCTCCTGAGTGGTCTTTTGTTTGTTTAGGGATGTTTTTAGAACTGTATAGTACTGTAAGCTGTCTTATTCCTTACACAGGAAGAGTGAAGGCTTCGTACATCGTCTTCCCAAAGATATCCAACACAGCTTTAACGATTACCAGATGACAATTTACTCAGCTCTTTTGATTATGGGAAATGCAATCTTTATAGATACAACTGATCCAAATCAAACAAAAGGTTAAAAAAGGTAAAATACCAAGCAGCTTACTGACTGCCAAGAGAGAAATATTAAAGTCTTATAAGTATGGAAAAAAGTCATGGCAGAGCTTGCGCATTTTAAAAAACAAGCACAATCAAAGCTCCCTCCCCTAACCTTAAAGAAAGCTGTGGTAAGAAACCCCAAGATAATTGAAGCCCATCGAAGCTGTGGGAGGAGGCAGCAGCTGAGAGAATTAGCAAGCACATGGCCTTTGCTCCCTCAACAAGGTTTACACAGATACATAAAGTTTCAAATAATCCCATATTAGTTATGGGTTAGCAGGTAATACACAAAAAGGTTTAAAGGCAACTAACATAGAATACATTCTCCAGACATTTATGCCCCTTTTCTGTGGTTGAGCTTAGGCCTTACTGCACAGATCTTGTTTATCCTCGTGAAACAGCAAACCAGACTAAGTAGTACTGAAACTACCAACAGCAGAACTGAGAAACTTCAATACACAGGAAGTTTATCCAAAAGCAAAACTTAAAGCTTCATAATAAGGGAAAACAACCCTAAGCAAACCATTAGCCACATGAATAAACTGGACTGTTTAAGACACTATAACCTTCTACAGACTGGAACCTGCCCTCCCTCTGATTTCCACAATAATTCCCTAAGGCTTGTTGTATACCACTAAAACCCAATGCAACTAAGCAGCTGCTTTTCATGTAGGTTTAAGAAGTTAAGATCTTGTTAAGTGTGTTCACCTGTTCTCGAGCATAGTTTTTCTGGCGAGTGTGGGATTTATTTTTCCTTACATCTAAGGTCTCACATTAATTCAGCCACCCTTAGTGCAGTTGCACATTTCAGCTGACTTTGCGGATATAAAGAAATTCAAACTTGCCAAGATTTCGTTCCAATTCAGCAGCTCAAGTTACAGCAGGAGTTCCCAGTACAGTCATCTGAGAACTACAAAATCCCAACACAACTAGGCATATTCCTGTACTTTTTATACTTTTATATATATATATTT